AAGTAGTGAGAGTCAGTGAGGCTGTACTGTGTGTACGTCGGCACACAGTCTGCCCTGGACTTCACTTCTGGACTACTGCTGAGGAGTCATCAGAGGACAGAGTGAGGGTAAGGTCTGTAAAGCTTCCAGGGCTTCAGACAGAAGCCATTTTTATCCTTGGGCAATGTGGTTTTGTGGAATAAACCCAGCATTGTCTGTAAGGCTTAATTTTTCCACTGTGGTTTAACTTCACATGGATATGACAAATGCTGAGGAACCTCAGCTTGGTCCTGATCAAAATACTAATTTCCAGGCCCTGTCCAGCATACCTGGCCAAACCAGCATCCGATCAGAAGAGAATGTACACATTTCAGAATGGCAGGTCAGCGCAAGGGTTATGAGGGAGCCTGTGAGGACATTGTCTTGTTGGGATGTTTAGTGAGTGTGAATAGAAAGCAGTCCTGTTTCTGCCACAGACTAAAATGTTCCCTTTCCTGAATGAGAGCATGAGCAGGCTTGGTCTTTCATTTAATGTGCAGCACAACTGAAGTGCATATATGTACATCCCTACCACACCTCCACCCACACACAAGATGTACATACACACTCAGGAAAACAGAGACCTTCCTGTGAGTCGTAGTGTTCATGCTGTCTCTGTCGCAGGCAGCTGCATCATCTAATTCCTTTCATCAAGTGCCATCATAAAAGTTTACCATTTTCTTGTCGTAGCTCTGTTCCCTTGGGAGGCAGTTCCAGAGCCTCCCTGCTCTGATAGTTACAAATTTCCCTCTAGATTCCAGCTTCAAATAATTCACAGTCAGTTTACATTCTTTGTTTGCAAGCCAAAGTTTCTCTTCAGCCTAAATAGTTCCTGTCCCTCTCTGGTACTCTTCCTCTGATGTTTACAGTCTGGTTTCTCAAAGGAAACAAAGCTCGTGCAGTCATGCTGTCTGGCTGGCAGCCTCAGCCTTCCTCAACTCATTTGTAACTTGTTGGCCCATTTCAACCAGTGCTGGCAAGGGAGCAGTGGTTAGAAACACAGGTGGTCCCTCCAAGTTGGGTGATAGTCGTTGACTGGATACGAAATGGAGACTCAGCAAAACACTGTCATTGGGGGAAAGGCAATGACTCAGCCCCTTCTCCACCATCAGACAGAGACAACAAACAGCAGGCCAATTGTGTATTGGCTTCTATTTGCCCAGTCTAGCAGACCTGGGAGAAAGCTTGGGAGATATTGCTGGCAAGAGGGGATAGGGCTTGCTGAAGAATATAGGATGGAGGGATTAAGCAGTTTAAAGCCTTAATCTGTAGGAAACAAGGCTCCATTAGTTTGTGGAACACTTAGTTATAGAGGACAGTCATGATTTAAATATGTGCAGGGGTATTGATATATTGCAGGATAGGGAGAAACAGATCATCAGGGAAAACCTGGATCAGTGCAGTTCCTCCCTGTGCCAGATGACCAGCAGAACACATCCACATCACTCAGCTCACTTCAGCCCTCAGCATAGGACATAAATGATATGTCTCCTGCTGGCCTCTCTACACAGGGACACACTTCACCCAGTGAGACAGAGAGTAATTGAGATGATTGGTCCTTTACATATCTGCTAGCCAGGTCCATGGGCCATGAGACTCATAAACTGTCAGACTTCTGGGTGCAAATCAACCTTTAGGCCCTTCATCAAAGGCACCCGCTCAACTTATCACCTTGCTTTGGATCCATTTTTAAGCTACAGGCCCCCAGTCCACAGCGCTGAGGTCTTGTCGTGACCCCTAAGTCAGCATTTTCAGAGCAAATGCATCCCTGTGGCCGTTGCTAAGAGGTGCTGCTGATCCATTGCTGAGAGAGATGTGCTCAGAAAGTGCTAGGAAGGCTTTCGGTTTTGCCCAGTTGTATCTAGCCAGAAGCTCCCTGGGAGCCAGGTCTGACTGCATATCTGACGTGTGTTTCTGTAACTGATGTGACACCTGTCTTGTATAGTACTGGGTACATTTTTAAACCAATAGTATGTTGAGAGAAAGCACAAGCATAAAACTCTAAAGGCATTTGCTTTCATGTTTCAGTGGACTTTGGTTTAGTTGGACGGATTAAGCAGATAAGAGAGAGAAAGACAGAAGTCAGTTTGCCTACTGAAGATGCCCTTCTCAAGGTGATCTACCAATTGTGGAGTTTTCTGGTGCTGTCATCCTCCTTATTGCTGAGCATGCCATCACCACAGATCTTTACCTATTAAAGCGAGAGAACGCTTAACATCCTAATAGTTTGACTGATGTAGTGGTTACATTATATGTAATGAGGGGGACCCATGAAACGTCTTGCTGTGAAGAAATTCTTCACATAGCTGCAAAGTGTGGCCCTCTTGAAAATTTATTCTTGGAGTTTACTGGGCTTAAGTCACTGAGCTCCAGGTGCTCAGTGCCAGAGGATTCAACTTGTTATCTAAAATGTGACATTATCACCACTGCAGGAGCCAAGAGCTACAAAATCTGATATCCCTGTAAGGGGGCAAATAGTCTTTTCCTAGTCTGGAGAGGTGAGGCACAGAGGGAGTGATTTGTCTCAGATTTATCAGGGAGCCTGGGGCAGTTTGAGGACCTGAAGCAGAAACTGCACAGCGTTCTTCTTCCTCCCACTGACCACTTCAGCTGGTTTGCAGCTGCTTTGTGTTCCTGGAGTGGTAAGAAGCCTCAGTAAAGTACCCTGGTGTACCTGTCCTCCTCTCTTATCTCAATATCAGTTAGTCACTGTAGGTTTACCTACAACAGCAGCCAACAGGAGTGTGCTAAATAATATGCCAGTGAAGGCTCTACAAGTGCCATTTAGCAAAATGAATAGGTAATGCCCAAAATTGCATGGCTTTCTGTAAATTCATATTGTATATTAATAACGTAGAGATAAATAAAATCCAACATAACATTTGAATAAAGACTTCATATTTAACCCAGAGAAAGAATATGCCGCATGGGTGGCACTCTTTAAGTAAGTAAAAGCTCCTGGTGCAAAGAAGGCAGGTGCAGCCTTGGCCAGAAACACCTTCTCACACACCTGAAAAGCCTAACACTAGTGAGCACAATCCCCTGCCCTTGCTCAGAAAGAAGTCTGGAAGTGGTGTGTGAGACACACACTCAGGTGTGTGCCCTGCACCTGGTTGTCCCTGCCTACTGGTAACTGCCATGCAGCAGCACATCCTTCCCCGGGAGGACAGTCATTGGTGGCACCTGAGTTCTGTCAGGTGGAGGAACTGCTTTGGCATGGGGGTCAAGAAGGGGGTCAAGCACGGGACAGCTTGGCCTTCTCTTCGCAGAGTTCACCTCACTGTCATATGCCTGCAGTGCATCTGTGGCTAAGGTAACACAGAAAAAATGTGGGCTCCTGGCATCTGTAAGGGAGGCTGGCACCATCAAGGGAAAGTCGGGTACTTGTTCTGCCAGAAACAAAGAGCACAGGGGAGAAGCACAGTGCTGCTAGCACCAGAAAGTTGTGACCAACTTTATGGGCAGCACCAGAAATCAAGAAGCAGTGATTGCAGCTGTAGGTTTCCAGATGCTGTTGTTTTCTGCATTGCCCTTTAGTAAATGACAGTAAAGAGAGAGAGCAGTAGAGAGCTCCGACTTCAGTTTAATTAATTTTGTCAGTCCCCTTTCACAGGACACTCTGAGGGTTTGTTGTATGAATGTAGCTGCTGTGATGGCTCTATGGCAGAATGACAGGCGAAATACCTCAGGATTTCAACCCGTGCCTGAGCTGGCTGGATCTGGGATTTCTGCATCGAAGGCTGGAGTGCTGAGCTGTGGGAAGAAGGGTTTCCATCTTCTCCTTGTGACCAGTTCAGCAGAAACACTGGCCATCACTCAAGAGAGCCTAGGACAGGCTGTCCAAGGACTATGTCCAGTCCAGGCAAGCAAGGAGTTCTTTGAGCTTTTCAGGGAAAAGCCACCTCTCATATCTCCCAATATAAAAGTTTTCCCCTTTGTATTTCACCACCACTTTGTGAGGTAGAAAAAAGAGCAGCATAGTGCATTTACATATGCTGTGTTAACATACTAAGCATACAGATTGGCGTGGTTTACTTTCTCACATTTCAGTACAAGTGTCAGAAGAAGGATTCACAGCAGGAGGAAAAATTACCCTGGTTCCCTTGACCTGCACCCCGGTGGAGTGTGTGTATGGTATATAGTAAGTTACCTCCGATTCCTTTTAGGTTAGGATTTTAAACAAGAAGATCGATTTTAGCGATATTCAGTCCCGGTGTGGTTCCAGAGATAACATCAGACATTCTGCAGGGGGAGGAAATGTAAGTAGTACAGACACCCTGTGAACAGGCATCTCCACTGTGGTAACCCACCTTGCACAGCCAGACCCCTCTGTATCCCTTCCTCTGAGCGCTACTTTCCTTCTTGTTACTGTTTCACGTGTGAGTCGAGCCTGGTAGTTGTGTGAGCCCTGTGTATGCAGTGGTGGCCTCCTGATCTTTCTCCACAGAGCACAACACGTTTCCAGAACTTGGACAGGAAAAGGAAATGAGAGAAGAAGGGTTCTCTCTAAACGCCCAAGGGTGCTGGCAGTAAAAGTTCAGTTTGAGCCAAAATAGTTCAGTACCTTTCATGGGAGTGGCCCAAGAAAGTTATTTCCAGAAAGAGACTCCAGCTCACAGTGAGACTTCAGCCTCACAGTTGGTCATCTTCTGGTGTGTCAGTCCTTCCTCAGCTGACCTGAGAGGAAGAGGAAGAAAAATAAAACATAAGGACAAAGCAAGCTCAGAGAGTGTGATCAGCCAGTGTGCTGAGTGCTAATGCTAATGCCACAGCATTATTCCAGTATAACAAACTGAGGTTTCTCAGGGTTTGACCAGACACCCAGTAGTTCTAGCAGTCACGCTGGAATAGCTTAAGGCAGCTCTGACCCCTCTGATGGAAATGATCAGATGGAAGAGCTGATGGTGTGGGCATGTCTGATCCAAACAGATTCAGTACAGCCACCAGTGCTGGCTTAAGTCATTGCTGGTAATGTGAGCAATCCAGTGGCGTTGCAGTCATCCTGCAGCTCCTGTCTGGCCTGGAGGGGCTGCAACTTCTTAAGACCTGCTAACATAGTCACTGTGATTCTGGGCCGTGTCTGGGAGCTAGCTGGGAGCACAGCAAGGCGGGAGTGTCACTCTGTGGCTGTTCCCAAGCTGGGCTCAGCAGAGTCATGGCAACGTGGCTGGCAGCAGGGCACAGAGCAGCAGGAGGAGGGAGGGTGCCTGTGCTGCTGCCTGGCTGAGCGGAGCGATGCCACTGCTATCTGGTGAGCACCATCGAGCAGGGTGGCTGAACACTCAACCAGCTCAGGTACAGCTTCAGGAGTCACATTTGTAGATTCATCAGATTCTCCATAGTGGATTGAGCTGAAATGCATACCGTATTTAGATACAGAAAAATATGAAACAGGTGGTAGAGGAAAGAAAACAGTCACTGAAATATTCCTAGTTGCCAGGATGCACATTGAAGAGCAGAAGCAAATGGCATGGGTCCTGCTGCATGCAGGGCTTCAGAGCATCCACCCTGGGAGGAGGCTCAGAAACATTTTAGAAAGAACCCACAAGCTGATCTGCTTTGTCCTTCTCTTCTTTTTGCTAATAGTAAAGCTTAACCAGCTCTGTCATTTCCCTAGGTGGGAAGGAAGCTTGCTGTATTAATCCAGGTGTTTCCTCCTTTGTGGCATGGTCTGTTTTCTACTAACTGTCTCTCCTTTTCCAGTGGTTTGCAGAGGCTTGGGCTCTTCCTCTGCAGGGCTTGGCTTTTTATTTATTTCATTATTTTCATTCCTGTAATTTGTGTGTGTGTGTCTGTGCACTTTTGACAGGTACAAATTGTAACCAAGAAGATCGACTTGAGTCATGTGACTTCCAAGTGTGGCTCGCTCAAGAATATCCACCACAAGCCAGGTATTGTATGAATTTCTGGGATGTGGGACAAAGCAAAGACCTAATCCTGTTATGGATGATGCCATTCTCTTTTATAGTCCAAGAGAAAGTAAATACACTTTGGTAATAAAAATAATATTCTTAAGTAAATATATAAAGACATAAAGGTATGGGACCACCTATTTTAGAGAGTCAATAAAAAAATAATGCAGGATGCTGCTGCGGCATAACATCACTTTGATAAGATACTGAAATGCAGACTGAAGATAGCAAAATACTTAAGCATGTGCTTAAATCCCGTGAAAATCAGTAGGGCTGCAGCACATACATAGGGTTTGAATATGTGTTGAAGATTTTATATTTTACTGAACTTGCAGTGTGGTATTCTGTGCTTCTTTAAAACCATTAGATCTCAACTAAAAGGGAAGTAACATGAGTGCATCTGTGTGCATCAGGCCAGACTTTCGCCTGAGCCACTCCAGCCTCTTAATCTGTATTTCCTTTTTCTGTGTAGGAGGTGGGCGTGTGAAAATTGAGAGCGTGAAACTGGATTTCAAAGAAAAAGCTCAGGCTAAAGTTGGTTCACTGGAAAATGCCCACCACGTACCTGGCGGTGGTAACGTCAAGGTAAGGGGACAGCCATCAGAGAAAAGGCTACCACTGTGCCCCTGGCCCAGTGAAATTATTAGAGCTGTGAATTCCATGATGGCCCTGAATTGAGTAGGAAACATCTGTTTGTTCTCCTTCAAGCACATTCACATGCCATTTGCTCCCTTTGGAATTTGGAATGACCAATCTCACATCCACATCTAAGCTGAGAGTGAATCTTAAAGTGAAACGTCCTGTAGTTTGTGCGCTGGCTTTCCCCCTAGGGGTAAACCTTGTTTGTGACCGTTGTACAGCATAGGTATGATCTAATAAGTTTGTAGTATGGGTATCCCAGGGGATCAGGACTGCTTTGTGAAACAGGAGGAAGACATCTTGAAAGTAAGATCACTCCACAAACATTTGTAAAAACGTACTTCAGAAACAAATCACAATACCCATAAAACGTCTATTAAGTTCATACAGCTAGGAGCAATGGTACTGCACATTAAGGCATCCATCAGAGACGGAAATGGTAAGAGAATGTAACATAGTAAGTCAATGTATATTAAACAAGGTGAAAAAATCTTCAGTTTCAATTATTCTAAGGAGTGAAGAAGCTTCAATCCTTGTAAGAGTTCTTAAAAGTAAACAAAATGAGACCCACATGATGATCTCCAACGAGATAATTTGGTGAATATATATAATGTGTTAAATTCTTTCCTTTCCTGGAGCAGATTGACAGCCAGAAGCTAAACTTCAGAGAGCACGCTAAAGCCCGTGTCGATCATGGGGCTGAAATCATCACGCAGTCACCAGGCAGGTCCAGCGTGGCTTCGCCACGCAGACTCAGCAATGTCTCGTCCTCTGGAAGCATCAACCTGCTTGAATCGCCCCAGCTTGCTACCCTTGCTGAAGATGTCACAGCAGCCCTCGCTAAGCAGGGCTTATGAATTTGCTCATTTTGCATTGTATGAAGTAATAATATTTAGGCATGAGCTCTTGGCAGGAATGGGCTCAGAGCAGGTGTTACATTCATTCTTTACCATGTCTAAAACTAAGTCGCATCCCAGGACTTGTAGTTACCATACACTTAAAAAAACAGAAAAAAAAATTAAATAGATGCAGAAATTGGCCTAATCTCCATTTACAACAGGAAGACACTGGCTTTATATGGGTATACAACTGCGGTATGTTACATTGGACAATTATTGTTGCTCTGCTCTGTCTTGCATGGAGTACCGTACTATGATAAAATGCATTTTTACCTTTCATGTGCCTGAAGGCCATCCACCTCTTTCTGAAAAGCCTTGTTAATATCCCAAGTTGCTCATTTCACTGTTCTGTTGATAGATGGGGAAATTAAAAAGTTGCCCATTGTAAGTTATTATAGGTTAAATTAACAGTCTGCTTGCCAGAAGGAAGGGCATATAGAGAAATTCAAGTTTAATTAAAAAAAAAAGTGTTATTTTGTATAAATAAGTAGAACAAAAGTTGAATTAAGTTATTAACATTTTTTTGGACCTGGTTAATTATGTCAGTGTATAGCTGAAAAGCCAATAAATTATTTAACTAATAACTAAAAATAGTAGTTGAAAACATTTGAACCATGCTTGGGGAAGTGACGTAAAAAAGCTGTTGAAAGCAAGCACTTCAACCCCAATGGACTTGTGTCTGATTAGAAAGTTGGTTAAGCGGCTAGATTTGTGTACGCACCACCGGTTTCACATCCTTTCCATCTGTTTGATACAGTATTATAGATATATATATTTCTCTGTGGCCATTTGTGATACGCCCTCCTCATATACTTGAATATACTACTTCTTTATTCACAGTATCTGTGTCTCTTGCACCCTTTGGTGTTGCAATTTTAGGTATGTAAAAGTAGATGTTAGCAGGGTTTTTTTTCCCTATTCGTAAGAATACATTTAAAAAAGATGAAAATTTTAGCATGAAGTTGCTTTCTGTAACAACTAAAAGCCGTGACCCTGTTTTAGTGCCAGATGCAAGTCTCTTCTGTGATGCTAGAAAAAGGATTCCTTTCCTCTTCCCTTCCCTCCCTTTCTTCACAAAGGTATGATTTTTGTGGGGTCCAGACGTTTGTAAAAGGGTCTCCAAAGATGGCTGAGTTTGGATTCTGGATTTTTAAAAAATCCACAGTAGTTTGGTTCTGGCTTTTTTTCTTTCTTTTTCTTTTTTTTTTTAAACTCCTGTAGTAACAGTGAATGGTAGATTTATTTATTTTTTTCTTTTGCTAAAGTTGAAACACAAAAAAAACTATTAAGATGTTGTTTCCACTCCTTCAGTGGTGTCTTATGTATACACTCAGGCACTCAGATAACAGCGATTAAACATAACAGAGATGCCTGTAAATTATAGAACATGAATAAATAAAATGAGCTCCCTAGACTGGGTTGCCATGGCGATTCATCCATAAATAGGGCATCTTAAAATCTGAGCAAAGTGGGATTATATTGACTATGAAAAGTATAAGAAAAAGTATGCATAAAAGGTAAAGGGCAGAGATATATAAACAACCGATCTAATGGAGTTACCTGTGAGAACTCCAACACTATCTTACGGACACTAAGAGGACACTGAAGGTAATATGGTAGTATTACTCATCAGCGGATAATAATCTGCTGATACTATATGTACAGTAGACATTATGAAATGACCAGTTTACATTCTTGCAGATTCTTTGATCTTTTCCTTTTGAAATCTCTTAACTAAACTTTGCACTGTCAGTTGAGCTATACTTGATACATGTATTAGGTTAACATTGTGTGTTGGAAGCTTTTGATCTGTTCTTTTTCCTTCTTAATTTGTATGTGTGCGTATGTGTGTTGGGGTTTGATCTGAAAAGACTCATAGAGAAGATTTTTATGTCTGTGGAGAAGGATTCTAATCATTAGTAGCACAGGATTCCCCATCATTAAATTCAGGTAGTAAATGCACAGTTACTAGGCAGTAAATATTCAGTGGACCAAAGGGGGATTTTGGCTAAGCTGTCACAGCAGTACAAAGACAAAACAAAATCTCTAAACATTTTACTGAAGATGAACTCCTAACAGCCCCACACACGACATTTCAGCTCTGCAAAAAGCTTTTTCACACTGTAAAGTACCTAGTACTGTTTGTAAGTCGGTTGTTTTATACGAAGGGACAGTGAGTTTAGAACCATGCTAAGTGCATCTGGAGGATTCCGATTTCTGCCTTGTATTTGTTATACTTTTGCTTAGAGAAATCCTAAGAATTCACATGGAAACAGTGTCAAGTGAGGTGCATTAAAAGCCTCTTCCCATTTTTCCAGAAAAACAACAGACAGAAAGAAAAAACCAACAAAACTGTTTATATCATGTTGCTCTGATCATACTATCAATTAATATAAATCAGACTTGCAGTGGGGTTTTTTTATGCCTTTTGCCAACGTGGGAGAGAGTCTGTGGTACTACTGAACCTCAGCTTCTCTGAAGCTTCTCTGAAGCTGAACACCAGCTAGTGAGAACAGTGTTAACCTGAGACTCAAGTTTTTTTATTCTGCTTTTAAAATTGACATATTCTAGAAAATGAAGCTTAGTTAATCCACCTGTGAGTCCAAAGTTAGAATGGTGTAACACACCAAGTCATTTATTTCATGCATTAAAATGAGCTTTCTTGTCTTGATTCAAGCAAAGACCTTTGTAATCATAATCATCCTTCCATAGAAAGAATCCTAGAACGCTGTGGAGTTAGATGAAAAGAAATCAAGAGTTTTGTGCTGTTAAATAAATTAAAAAAAAAAAGTTATGTTACATGACTCTAGATGTTCACTGGAAAAGCTCATATTAATCTTCACCTCTCAAGAAGAGTGTTGGTTTTAAAAACAACGGTTTTGTAAATACGTAACGCCCACTAAAGAATATAGAGCCAGCTTCCTGGAAACTGCATCCGTTGTGTTTCTTTTTGACAGGCATGTTGAGCCAGCAGCTATGTTGGGTGCCTGAGACCCAACTCTGTAACAAAGCAGAGACAATCCAGACAAAAGGAATGGTGAAACCTTGTTTGGGTAGCTGGGGGGAAACCCCAACCTAATAATCCCTCAAGTTGTAGAGACAAAAGAAAAAGTGCTTCTGCCCCATCTGCAGAGTTCTGTTTCTATGTAAGCACAAGCAGAAAGAAATGAAAGCTGAGCAAACATCTGTCCAGTGACAGTGAAGGAAAAACTGATACTGGTGAGGGAAATTGTGTGCCCACAAGGGCTATGCATATTTTCACTGTACCAGCAGTAAATGGTATTATCCATTCAACGCTCTGCTAAGGTACAGTAGTAACCTCATCGTGACTGCTTACAAATCTAAGTTTGCCTATATACACGACCCAAAGGGAGTCGAAAGGCAGCCTGTGTGGACTACCATATGTGAGCAGGTTTTTCCCATGCTGGACCAAATACTGTTTGAAACCCAAGTACAAATGTCCCTTCGAAGGCAAACGCCTTGAAGAGTAGGTCACATTTGCGATGAACATCGACGCAAGTAGATTTCTATCCTAGGTGTGTGTCGAGTTCACTCACTAGTCAGATTGCTAAAGCAACTCCCTCTGCAACTCCAGCAATTCCCACTGCAGGAAGGTAAATTACTTTCACACTTGGAAAAGTCAAGCGTATAAAAGCCACTTCAACTTTAGCAAAGAGAAAAAGCAAACAAATAAATATGCTGTATGCTGGGATGTCAAGGAATACAGTCTGCTGTTACAAACCTGTGTTTTTTCTGATAATTCTAGAGCCTGTTACCATAAAAGAGGCATTTCTTGAATGGCTGGTGGTAGGTAGTTCATGTTTTTCAATCCGATTTGCAATTGTATTTGTTGCTGTATAGTGATTGTTTTGCAAAATAAAATCGCTTGTCATCTAATTGCTTGTGTTGGTTTCCCCTGTTTGTGATACAGCTCCTCCTGCATTGAACCACTGTGCATTGCTGCCCTGCATGGAAAAAAAGTATCATAGACCTGCTGGTATTGCATAGTCAGTCTTGCCAGGAGAGTCAGAGCGGATTAAGTCATTCCTCGGTTAGTCCCTGCTACTTCTTGCCAAAAGAATCCGTTTTTACAGCTAGCATCCTCTGCTGCGGGGTACTATTTCCCTGCTTTGTGTGAATACATTACTCCGTCCTTCATCCTGGGGTCCCAGCCTGGAGGTGAGTTTTAGCATCACCCTGCACTGAGCAATTGATCCCTCCAGGCAGAGGAGGCCCGCGAATGAGCCAGCTTCCCCTCGCTTGTCACGGTGTTTCCTGCGGCTGCCTTCAGCGCAGGGGTGTGTGAAGGTGTCACCGATGGCTGGAGCCATCCCTTTGTCACAAGCTGGGCCGCTGGCAGGGATTTGTCACAGTTTTGGATCACGGCTCCACCGCTTTCTCCCACTTGGCTGAACCATGGGGCAGCCTCCCTCCCTCCCTCCCTCCCTCCCTCCTCTGTCAGGCAGGAG